CTTTTATTGGGTTTCGGCTGGATTCCACTTCATCAGCCTCAATCTCTTCGACCTTCAACAGATATTCATCTAACAACTCAGCAGAAATTATTGAATCTAAAACATCTACAACAAAACAGTGACTATTATCGTTTTCAGGCAATTTCATTGATTTCAAAATGAAAATTCAACAGTTTCATCAAGAACAGTCATAGTTAATTTTCCATTTTGGACATCAATCATCGTTTTTGCTGTGGCCATAAATGGTCGACCAAGCAAAATAGGCATGTCCTGCTCATGATTACACTTTTTATTTATGTCTAAAACAACAAAATCAGCAGGAATTATTAATTTATCAACTTGGACCAAAACATCTTCTACAATGCCCCTAGGATATCTAACAGAGGGATCAACAAGCTCGAGGGACATTGAAGGTGATTTCAATTTATCTAGACCTAATTGCAAGTAGACAGAATATGGCATCAAGGTAATGCTGGCCCCTAATCAAGCATTGCCTTTTCTTTCTTAGAATTCTCCACAGTAATAGTTATTATGAAACTACTGGGGTCTTCTAATTTTGGGGGCAAGTCAGTTTACTAAACAGCGCTCACAGTTTTAGACATGAAAACTTTTTCATTATGTTCATACCTACGCTTTCTAGTATACGGGAAACACCTCTTCCTTAGTTCATCTTCCGGCAAGTCATTCAACGGAAAGTTTTGGACTACCCCGTAGAAATCCCGGACGAAGGTAAGGGCATCCTCGGTTGCTAAACCGTGAAAAGATGGCAACTGATTGTAATGGATCATTTTCAGCTTATAATTCCTGGCTGCATTGGTAAGCACTATACAAGAAGTTGAAGTTCCTACTTGGGGCCTACCAAAGTTTTTCATCAACCTAGGAACGGGCATAGGGTTGGGGTTGGGATTAGGGTTGGGTGGAGGAAGTTCAGCCATGGTTGTGGGTGTTTCTTGTGGTTGTGATTGTGGTTCAAGAATTGGATTTTCAATAATTTGTTCCTTTTTTCTATTGATGTAGTCGTCTAAAGGCAACAATTCAAGATTTAGAGAGCGACGACCATGCATAAAATAAATAAATGAATTAAACGGCCCTTAGGGTTGGGGTTCAGCCTTTTGGAAGAATAAATGAATTAAACGAAAAAAATATATAAATAAATAAGTTGATCAATTAAAATAAACAAGTAAACAAATAGATAACCAGGATAATTAAGAAAGAGTAAAAGGAGAATAGGGAAAACTAACAAATATTAAGCGTTTTTTTAACAAAGGAATTGGAAGCAAAAAAAAAAAAAAAAAAAAAAAAAAGACAAATTGCACACTACCAAAGTAGATTAATGAGCTAAAAGAAAGGCAAGAATAAATTGAAAAGGAAAAAATTGACAATAATAAAAAGAACAAGCGATTACTAAAGAACAAAAACAGAAAATAAATTGCAATGTAAATAGTTTCCCCGACAACGACGCCAAAAATTGATGGACAATTTTAATATTTATGTCATCGCAAATGCACGAATCAATTGTAGTGATAACGTGCTTTAGCAAGGGTCGATCGTAGCGTGCTTTAGCAAGGGTCGATCCCACAGGGAATTGATACAAATGCAATTTATAATCTCGAATTAACTCAACAATTAGAAGACTTAATTTAAATTCGAAGCAGCATCCCCAATTTGTCTTCTTAATGGAGACAAAAGCTACGGAATCAAAAGTGGAGGAGGTACGTATTAAATTGGGTTTTGAGGGGAAAGTTTGTGTGGAACGGATAGGGATTGGTGTGGGACTGGCTTTTCTGTGGAGGGATAAGGATATGACGTCACTGAGGAGTTATTCCAACAACCACATTGATATGGACATAACTCTTCCGGGCCGCCCGGGGTGGAGAATGACGGGGTTCTATGGGGAGTATGATAGAAGTCGACGGCACATCACTTGGAATTTACTGCGGCAACTAAAGGAGGACTCTCAAGCTTCGTGGGTTGTTGTCGGTGATTTTAATGATATCGCTAGTCTGGCGGAGAAAAGGGGAGTACATTCGCATCCATCAGCCCTAATTGAGGGCTTCAACGATGCTTTGGAAGACTGCGGATTGGTCGACCTGGGTATGATAGGAGGGCGGTTTACATGGGTAAAGGGGAGGGGTACTGATGCATGGGTAGAAGAGAGGTTGGATAGGGCGGTGGCAACTTTGGACTGGATGGAATTACATGAAGAAACTGTGGTGCGGAACATTTATGCTCACAGTTCCGAACATTGTGCTTTATTTGTGGACGTAAATTCGGAGCATACACGCGTTGCAAATCGGAAATTTAGATTCGAGTTGGCCTGGATGTTGGAAGTAGGTTGTATGCGGGTGGTTGGAGAAGCATGGCGTATATCCAGGAACGGTTAGCTCTATGTGGCGAGCGGCTCCGGAAGTGGGGCCGGGAATATCATCGGACATTCGGGGCCCGAAGCAATCAGCTCAGGCGAACCCTGGATCAACTGAGAGAGAACCGATCTCCTAGTGCCATTGCTATGTTTATGTCAGCCGAACAAGAGTTGGATACAGTATTGAAAGCCGAAGAAGTTTTCTGGCGACAGCGCTCAAAACAGCTTTGGCTAAAGCACGGGGGTGCAAACACTAAGTACTTCCACAAAATGGCTACGGCTCGCCGGCGACACAATCAGTTATCCCGGATCAAAAACCAACATGACGAGTGGGTGGGAGGCACGGCTTTGAATTCGGAAGTTATCAGGTATTTCGAACACATTTTTTGCTCAGGCACGTGTAGTGCTGATTTTTTTGGTCGTGTCCGGGGAAAAGTGACGGCAGAGATGCAATCTGCATTATCTAATCCGTTTGCAATAGCTGGAGTTAAAATGACATTGTTTGCTATGCAACCCGAAAAGGCCCCTGGCCCGGACGGTTTGTCGCCGGCTTTTTTCCAACACTTCTGGCCGGTCATTGGGCATGATTTATCTGTGTTCGTTATTAAATGTGTGGAACTCAGACAATTCCCACCGGGTTTTAACGATTCAAATATCGTTTTAATCCCTAAGAAGCCTGTACCCAAGAAAGTCTCGGACCTACGCCCTATTGCGTTGTGTAAGGTGATTTATAAAATATTAGCCAAAATGTTGGCTAATAGATTGAAGACATGTCTGTCTCATGTAGTATCCTTGTCGCAAAGCGCCTCTGTTCCTGACCGGTTGCTCACGGATAACATTATCGTAGCCGGGGAGGTGGGTCACTTCCTACGGCGGAAAACCGGGGGAAGTAAGGGGTGGGCGGCGCTAAAGCTAGATATGGCTAAAGCGTACGACAGGATGGAATGACCGTTTTTGGAAGGTATGTTAAAAGCAATGGGTTTCCCGGGAGATTGGGTGGCTATGCTAATGTTGTGTGTCACCTCGGTGAATTACTCAATCTTAGTGAATGGGGAGATAGCGGGTCAGGTACGGCCTACTCGGGGTATCCGCCAGGGGGACCCTTTATCACCGTACCCGTTTATTATCTGTGCCGAAGGCTTGTCTATACTTCTACAATAGGCTGAAGCTCGGGGTGATATTCATGGTGTAAGGGTGGCTCGGGGTGCACCGGCCATCACGCACCTTTTTTTCGCTGACGATAGCTTGCTTTTTTTCAGGGCCGACGAACGGGAAGCAACAAAAATTAAGGAATGCCTAGAGATTTATAGTTTGGCCTCGGGCCAACTTATAAATTTTGACAAATCTTCGGCTGTTTATAGTCACAATACACCATCAATAGTCAGGGACCAGGTCTCGGCTCTCATTGGTGTTCCAGAAGCGGCGGATTTGGGCCGGTATTTGGGGCTACCTTCGGTTTTGGGTCGCAACAAATCAGAAATTTTTAAGTATATCGAAGGGAATATTCGAAAGAGAATTGGAGCCTGGCAAAATAAACTGCTGTCTCGTGCAGGTAAAGAGGTCCTTTTGAAAAGTATTGCACTTTCACTGCCAATCTTTACAATGTTCGTTTTTCTGCTTCCTTTGAGAATTTGTGATACTATTGAAAAAATGCTCAATCGCTTTTGGTGGGGTGGAGGGGGTGGGGGTAACCGTGGTATTCATTGGTTGAGTTGGGACAAAATGTGTATGTCAAAGGATAAAGGGGGTCTGGGCTTTAAAAAATTACATGAGTTTAATATGGCTCTGTTGGCCAAATAAGGCTGGCGAATTTTGATACATCCAGATTCATTGGTGAGTCAAATTTTGAAAGCCAAATATTTTCCCAGGACAGATTTTATGGAGGCTCAACCAGGTGGGAATCCGAGCTACTTAGGAGAAGTGTTCTAGCTGGGAGGGATGTGTTACGAATGGGGCTTGCAAGACGCATTGGAGACGGATGTGACACGAGGATATGGGGATGGCATTGGTTAGCATCTACTCCCGACGTTACATTAGCCACCCCGTGTGCCGATCACCTTCGGTTGCCGACGGTACAAGGTTTGCAGGACGGGCAGGGTCGGTGAGATGAAGAGGTTTTATGGGACATTTTCCTTCCCGAGGATGTACCTAAGATTCTGGCTACCCCTCTGAATGTTCATCTCCGTGACTCTTGGAGGTGGATAGGGGATATTCGTGGTTGCTACACTGTTAAGCAGGGCTATCATGTATTGACGAAGGACTCAGCTTGGAACGTGAACACGGGCATTTTCCAATCTTGGAAAAAATTATGGGCACAGCCGATACCCCCGAAGGTGAAGAATTTAATGTGGCGGTGTGCTCGCGGCATTTTACCAGTTCGGGAAAATCTACACTCACGGAGGGTGTGGATTGGGGGAGGATGCCCAATCTGTGGTTACAATATGGAGTCATCTGAGCATTTGTTCTTCGATTGTGAGTTGGCACAAAAGCTCTGGGGCGGCAAGGGCGTAGTCTGCCAGTATTCATGGAAGATTGGTTTGGCTTAACAAATGCGGTGCATGTAACGAAGATGACAGCAGTGTTCTGGGTAGTGTGGACAACCCGAAATGACATGGTTTGGCCTGGTAAATAAACATCTATGGACTGGGCGAGTGAGCAGTTAAATAATCTACAGGCCGAATGGAAGGAAGTCCACACAAGGCGTAACCAAGATCAAGCCAATGAGGCTGCGTTGTCTGATTGGAGTCCGCCACCTTCTAACTTCATCAAATGTAATGTGGACGCCACAGTTTCTAGGGAAGGGGCTGGTTACGACATTGTGCTACGTAATCATGAAGGGACGTTTGTCGCAGCGAAGTGTAACAGGTTGATAGGCGAGGAGGATCCGTTCATGGCAGAAATTCTAGGAGTTAAGGAGGCTTTAACTTGGATTAAGACACAGGCTTTTAATAATATCATGTTAGAATCAGATTGTTTAAATTTTTGTACCGCGTTCAATTCTTGTTTTTCTGATTTTTCTTATGCTGGGTTAGTAGTGAAGCAATGTAAGTCGATTGCTACGGATATTGGGAATGTAAGTGTATCCCATATCAAGAGGTCAGCGAATCGTGTGACTCATGAGCTTGCTCGGGCAACCGTTTCTAGGGCTGTCTCAGGGGTCTGGACTGGTGTCCCACCTGATTGTATTTCACACTTATTCTGATCAGTAATGAATTTCTGTTTTGCGCTCAAAAAAATTTAAATTCGAATAGCCTAGGAATATGAGGATTAGCAAATCATTAAGCAAGATAATTAACAACTCATTATGATCAACGAACAATAAAGGTGATATCAATATTTGAACAGACGAGACAATCAACAACTCCAACTAAGCATAACTCATCACTAAGCATGGTAATTAGCTCTGTACTTAAGCATTAATTCTGCAATTAAGCTTCACCGTAGCACTATTTCCACAAGGCATAAATTGGAATGGAAAATTGAGAAATTAACAAGTAAACAAAGTGAATTGAAGAATTAAAGAATTAAACAAAGTGCATTGAAGAATTAAAGAATTAAACAAAGTGCATTGAAGAATTAAAGAATTAAACAAAGTGCATTGAAGAATTAAAAAAATAAAACAAAGTGAATTGAAGAATTAAAAAAGAAAACACAGTGAATTGAAGAATTAAAGAAGAAAACAAAACCAGAAAGCTGCCGACCAGATAATGAAACAATGCCCAAAAAAATTAAATTGCAGGCCAATTCATGATGTGCAGAACCGTCGACGGAACACTCGTCGAAGCCACCGATCGAAATCTTGTCGTCGCTGCTGAACAAGAATCTAGACTCTCCGAACGGATTTTTCTTTGTGAGTTTTTGTGAAGAATGACTGGTTTTGGTGTCCAGATTCGGTGATGAAGATTAGTCCCTTCTCGATTCGGCCTTCTTTTATACTGTTTCGGTACTTCCGATTCCTTCACGAGACTTCGCTCCAAGTTGTGGTACGAACTTCCACGGAATGCCTTGAATCAAGGATTGCCATTGAAGCTTCCGCCAGAAACAATCGACTGTTCGCGTCGTTCGCGTCTGCGGCGTTGTCCGTGGCTTCGGCGTCTGCGGATTCTGTTCACGCTTTATTTCAGACAGGAACAACCTAAACTAACATATATATATATATATATATATATATATATATATATATATATATATATATATATATATATATATATATATATATAAAGAGGGGCGTTTTCAATTTCAGTCCATTTTAATTTATTTTGACACTTTAAAACCATTGTTATTGAATGTGTTTCACTTTTAGTCCACCATTAATATTTACGTCAAGAGGTCGTATAATCAAAGGGTATTTTGGTCTTTTTATATTTGTCTCTTCTCTTTTAATTCAGGCGCTTCGTCTTCCTCCTCCGATATTCAAAGATGGCTCTTCAAACAACGAGAATGGGAAGCCAAAGCTACATCGTTTCGTTCGTTCCAACATGGGCTGATGAGGTTTCTTAGGTTTTAGGTTTAATGTTCTCATTTCTTTAGTCAAACATAGTCTTGGATGAGAAGAAAGGTCAAAATACCCCTAGATTACACGGCCTCTTGATGGAAATACTAACGGTGGGACTAAAAGTGGAACACATTCAATAATAGTGGTTATAAAGTGGCAAAAAAATTAAGGTGGACTAAAATTAGAAACGCCCCTATAACAGTAGGACCAAAAATGGAATTCACTCTAATAATAATAATAATAATAATAATAATAATAATAATAATAATAATAATAACAATAACAATAACAATAACAATAACAATAACAATAGTGTCAATAATTTATTGCACTCACCATTTTAATAACAAAACTAAATTAATAACAAAAACTACCCCAAAATTAAACAATATTAATAAAAATTACTTATAACAATAATAAATAAAAATTAAATCAATTATTACAAATTAATTATAAAATATTATTTGAAATAACAATAAAAATAAAGTTGATCACCTATGCAAGCATTAACGGAAAATGTTTACGTTGGAACTTGAAGCGCAATCTCGTATCATAAGGAGTGAGAGACATTCGGGGGATAAGAACTTTGGTTCCTTCATGTGTCCCATTAACTATTCTTGCTTCGACAATGTGATCTGTCAATCTTGTGATGTTGAGTCGCGTCCTATTACAAAGACCAAGACAGTGGTCTGTGTTCCGCAATCACATAACACGTGCATCGATCTTTAATGTCAATGAATGATTAGGAAAACCTGACAAACTCAAACTATTTAAGAATTCAAGAGTGTGTACTTTTGATAGATTTTCACCGTTTGATTCTGCCTTACATAAAGAGTCACAACTTAAATATATTCGTCCTTCTGCAGTATTCATGTCGCACATGTACTGATTAATTTGATCAACGACATCTAAAGTCAGTGAGATGATCGATCGGCCTTCTAGTTGTGACTCATCAAGCATGCCATATCTCAAACTTGGAAAGGTGTTTTCCACTAAAGTTGCTATGGGATCGTGTCCACACTTCAAGAAAAACCGTGCCGAAATATCGATCTCAGATGAACCACCGTTTACAACCCTTGCAATCACATATTCGATGTTTGTAATCCATTTTGAAAACCAATCAACCGTCTATTTATCTTCATTTAAAGCTAAGGTTCATAGTCTCAAGTTCTCGGTGAGCCTTAATACCTTGCAATTTGTCCACATGTATGAATAATTAATAGTTGCTCTAACAACTACGGGTTTTGTTGCTTTTAGAATAATAGGTAGGATCTGCCTAAAATTGCCGCCCAAAACTACTATCTTTCGACCAAAAGTCTTTTCGTCACTACTCGGTATGGCAAACGTCAATAGATCCCTCATTGTTTGGTCCAAAGCATTATCAATTTTCTCCTTATTATAAGCTCAGCAAGGTCGTTGTCTTGCAATATATTGCATGTGGAATCTTTGTTAAAAAAGAGCGGTATAGCAAATCTGGAATGCGTCGTCCTACCTCCCGGCAAGAGCAAGGATGTTATTCTAGTAGAAGCAAAATTTAGAACAATATCACCGCGACTCTTTATCTTTGACGATAACGTTCACCACACGAATGTCTTGCATGTTCCTCCGTAACCATACACAAAGAACAATCCACCCCCATTAGAATCAATATCATTCATTACAAAGTCGTAAACATTCTTTTGCTCGTCGGTCAGTTGTGTTGCCAATGTTTCATGCTTTGTTTCAACGATTCTTTGTTATACACCAACTCTTTGGCTATCAACATGTTTTCACTCAAACCCAGGCTAGTTTCGTTTAGAATTGACATTTCTGGAAAAAATCTTTCAGGTGCTTCCCCATAAAGATAGCAACTTCTCCACAAAGATAGCAACAACTTATTTGCAAAAAAATAAAAATAAAAAAATGTTATTCTACAATATTTTATAACATTTTCATCTAATATAGTTAGGGAAAAGGGTGAAATAGGCCCTCAAACTTTAGCTTAAAAGTCAATTAGACCCCTAAACTTTTTAAAGGTGCAATTACACCAATCAACAATTCATTTAGTTGCAATGAAGCCCAAAAATAAATTAATGACCTGCTACCACAGGTCATTAGGGTTCAGGCCACCTTCCGGCAAAAAAAAAAAAGTGACCGGCGAAATTTCCGGCAAAAAAAAAAAAAAAGAAAAAAAAAGCGATCGGTGACTGACGAACGGTCGTCGGCGGTCACTTTTTTGCCAGAAATTTCGCCGAAAGGTGGCCTGAATCCTAATGACCTGTGATAGCAGGTTATTAACTTGTTTTGGGGCTTCATTGCACCTAAATGAATTGTTGATGGGTGTAATTGCACCTTTAAAAAGTTTAGGGGCATAATTGACTTCTAAGCTAAAGTTCGAGGGCCTATTTGACCATTTTCCCATATAGTTATATGATACATAGTTTTTTTTTTATTTTTATTTTTATTTTTATTTTTTTTAATATTGTTGTATTGTATTGCGATTATGAACTTTATTTTAGAATTGTAGTACGAATAGGAAAGTAGGAAACGATATATTCTATTAGGAATTGTATTACACTATTTTACAATATTAGAATAGAAATTTTAATGTAGAATTGCAGTATGAATAGAAAAGTAGGAAACAATATATTATATTAAAAATTGTATTATACTATTTTATAATATTACACAAACCTTAGTAGTATAGGATTGTTTTGGGCGGAAAGTTAAAATAGAGGATTTTGTTTTTATTAATAGTATAAATATATATTTAATTGCAATTTCTCAAATACATCATGCATTTCATTTCAATGTCTTTTTGCTAATATGTATCAGAATATATTTGTCTTTTTCTTTTCTTATTTAGTCAATATGACCAATATTATTAATATTTTTATTATTATTGTAATTTGTAAAAGATATTTGTTTAATTATAAATTTAAGACTCCATAATAAAATAAAGTTACTCGGTTGAGTAATTGACTTATTGTGCACGGGCGCACGGGTTGGTCTAAAAGGGTGACCTGATATTGACGTCAGGGTCAAAACCGTAAAACGCTTGCTCTTTCTCATGGGCGTCCATGATGGTTGTTGTGACGAATGCCTGTACGGCTGTACATCTTGATATTGCGCTCATACCCATCTACTTTTCTTTATTCTCTTTT